CACCCAGCTATTTTTTGGTTGCAGCCGTCATTGTTGTTTGGCGGGCCCAGGCTGGATTCAAACCCACCAGGTGTATGTGGCTGGCACCTTAGCCACTCGAACCACAGGTGCCGAGCCTCATATTCATTTTTTAAAGCACTCTAGTACAGTGAAAACTTTAGACTAATTGGCTAAAAGATTTAAGTACCAATCAGTTCTGCCACTCACTAGCTATTTGTCCTCAGTCAAAATTCTCAATCTTTATTAAATTTCTTTCTCATCTGAAAAATTAGGATATAATTTACATATTCTATCTAAAAGCACTGCTGTGAGAAGAAATCTTGAAATAATGTACATAAATATTCTTTATAAACTGTAAAGTAGTAGACAAAAATGTTTACACTAACTTCTTAAAAAATAAAAAGTATTAATTATATCATGAGATTACTCCAATAGATTATAATATTAGGCCTTGGAAAAGGAGAAAAATGCTCCATGCTTCAGTAACTATCCAAGTTACTGCTATCTAAAAAATAATTCCTCCTTTCTCCTTTTTGCCCGTCCCTATCCACTGCTTCAGGTTTTAGTATTAATCAAAAAATACTTGGGTAGCAGGGTGCTGTGGTACAAGCATATAGTTCCAGCTACTTAGGAAGCTGAGGTGGGAGGCCAGGAACTGGAGGCCAGCCTGGGTAATATAATGAGACCCTGTTTCTAAAAAATATCAAATAAAAATAAATAAAATAAATACTTAAGCAGAAATTCAGCTAAATTATATAAACAAATATATCATTTAATATAATATTACATATAATATATTTCATTAAATAGAAGTATGTCAGTGAATAGCCAACCAGGAAAACCAAAACAACCCCACATAGTTGTAACAGAATGTAATGCAGGGAACTGGCAACAGAAGTGACAGAAAAGGTACAAAGCTGAAATGGGGGACAATGGGACATTGAAGCAACAAACATCAGCATACTGGAAAACTGCTATACTCCTAAAGTGGAGGCCAAAAGGAAGCAGCAGTGCCTCCAGATGGAAGCTGGAGCCCTAACAGGTCTGCCCGGTGAGAGATGGACCCACAGAGGAAATACAGGCACTACGGGAATCACTGCCCAAGGCGAGAAGATAGGGAAAACATTCTCTGGCTTCTGTCTTCCTTGCCCTCCAACTTCCAGTATCCTCTAGGGACATGCAGTTGGCAATGCAGCCTGCAAGTGTCAGCTCCCTGCCATAGGGAGCAGAACAGCGGAAGGATGAGAAATGGCTCTCATGGCAAACAGACCCAGGACCTGCACAAGTGGTAATTCTGTCCATGCTAGAAAATACTATTAATATAAAGAAGCCACTTCATTAGGAGCATCAAAAACAAATGCAAATACTCTCTTAAAATGCAAATACATTAGAGGATTAACTTACGAAAGATTTGGATTATCTTCTGCTGAATTATTTTCCTTCCTTGTCAAGCATTTATAGAAAAAGCTACTAAAAATGTGACTTCGTTCAACAAGTTCATCTGATGCCTTCTCCAATATAAGATACCTGTAAAGTAGTAACCCCACAAAAGTAAATTATTTTAAGATTTTACCAGGTCTTCCCCCAATTATCTTGTATGTTCTTGAAATCATTTTTATATACGATTAGATTTCACAGCAATCTTGCTGTTCCCTCTCATTTCAGCTTTAAGTTTGTTCTTTAGTTACTTTACCTCTATCAACATCATCTTTAAGCAAACATTGCCCACTTATTCCTTAATTTACTTACTACGTATATATCAAGTTCCTAACATGTGGAAAACACTATGTTTACTCCAAAATCACAAAATAAAAGGGGAAAAATAAAGTATCTGTCCCCATAGAACTTATAATCCAGAAGAATGAGTTTAGAAGAAAATATTCATCAATAATCACATAATAAAGTATAAAACGGAAACTATATAAATCAATCCAGAAAAAAATAACTGAGAAATGACTAATCTCTAAATCTTTATTCCATTTCTATAGTAAAACCATCTTCCACATAAGCTTATAATTCAATCATGTAATGATTAAGCCCTTCATAATTAGAAAACTCTGCTATTCTTGATAGTTTTTGCAGATTTTAAAATGTCCCTGGCAATTGTTTTTTAAGAACTAAGTAGCCAGAGTCTTCAGATCAGTATGCTGAAAAGGAAAGGCTGTATAGAAGGGAAGAACTCCAGACAGCTGCAGAGAGTCCTCCTCAAGTATTCAGCAGAGTATCGATCACTGTACATATGTAAGAGGAAGTTCCCAAAAAGACTGGTGGGAATGGTATCAAGCATTCACTCAGACCAGGAATGGTCCCTATTCCTATTAGCCAGATTAGAAAACCTCATAATTCATGAGGCATTGGGTAAAGTACTCAGAAGGGTCTTTCCCCAGTAGATGAGGATTAATTCATTAGTTTCAACTAATAAATCTTAAATGTATCAAACTTCCTAATAATTCGTGTCCAAGAACAAAATTCAAGAATACTTACAGGAATACAAAAATACCCTACCCAGCACTCAGTAAAAAACTACAAGACATATGAAGAGGGGGAGGGAGAGGGGAGGGGAGAATGGGTGGAGGGAGGGGGATTGGAGGGATCACTCCTGAGGTTTATCTTACAGGGGTACAAGTGAATCTTTCT